TTGCCAACTTGTTTCTATTTTTGAAACAAGTATACTTTCAATCAATACCGAATAGACACCGAATGCCAGACCTCAGAAGGCCTTCTTTTTTCCCCCCTTCCATCCCAGGATACTCATAATATAGGGGCCTTACCACTTAAGAGACCGGAAGCTTGGTGCTGCTAAAATCACCCCCCAAAAAAGCGTCGAAATTATGTTTGATAAAAGTATTTTTCTTTACATTTAAAATTCAAATAAGTTACTGGAGTTAAAAATAATTATCCAAAGAATATAGTTTAGGTATTTTAAATGCAGAATTCGAAGCATTTTTTTTTTTCTTTCTTTCTTTATAGAAATGAATAAAACTAACTAAAATATGTCGAAGTAGTTGAATTATTTAAATACCGGCGTATAATGCGCACCCTTTCCGAAAAACGCTGTATGAAAAATGGGGTGCGTGTTATACGCTGGCAAATAAAAATCGCTTAATTAAATAATAAGTTTTAGATTTATTTATAATTAAAAAAAACAGCGTAATATTAAAAAAAAACGAAACTGTCCACCGAAGAGAAATTTCGATTTTAATCACGTCGAGAAAAATATTATAGGAGTGTTTGCTTTTGTTTGTCGATCAGAAACGATTTTAATTTGGCGGCAGAATGATTAAAGCGGGAGTTTTGCTGACACCAATAAAGCGTCATCGGATCTAGCGAATCAGTTTTAATCATTATCTATTCAGCAGCTTGTTTCTCGGCTTCTTTTCTTCTTGGAAAAATCCATCAATCGTCATTATTCGAGAGAAGTGGATTTGCTTTCCGTCCTCCCGCTTTATAATTAATCCAATTTACTTTACAGCAGCTCTCACGGATTCTATTAATTCCTCTGGCAGCCGTAGAAAAAGACTCTTCCGGTGTCTGCCACAGCGCCAAGCAGCCTCGTCGGCTTTTTAGTTCTCTGTGTCAAGGTGTCGCCGACGTAGCCGCGCTGTCTAGACCGACCATCAGCGCCGTCTGTCGGAGTACCCAGGTGCACCAGACGTCCATGGATGGCGGCCACTGCTTTACAGCTCCACTCCGTTCTGTACTGTACACACGCGCTCGATGCTCCTACACATAAAAAAAAAGAAGAAGAAGAAGAAGAAGATGAAGGTTGTTATTGTAAATGATTGGATGCCTCGCAACCCGAAACCCTCTTCTCTGACTTTTTTGCAATGTACACGTTACCTACTAATATTGAAATTTTGAATTTTTCTACATCTTCTCTCAATTAAAACGTGCTTTTAAATTATAAAAATACTTTTGCTTCATTTCTACTTTGTAATTTTATATAAACGAGAACCATTTATCCTTAAAAGTAAATTGATCTATCATACGAAATGTTAATTAATTTCACTATAAAGCGGAAAAAAAGCAATGCCCAAATTCTGGATTTGAACCCGAAAACCATTGTTTAAACCGTAATTTTTTTTGGATGAACGTGTTGCTTTGGTCCAAGAATTTATATTTTAATTAATAAATTAAAGGAATTTACGTGATTTTCTCATTTTTTTTGAAGCGTCCAAATAAATCTTTAATTTAAGAATCGAAAACTTAATCTTCAACGAAAATTATTTAAGAGGAAGGAAAACACATCTTTCGGCTTCAATAACTTAAAAACAATCTTATTATGTTAAATTCTTAAGGCATATGGATAATTCAAAAGGTAAGATAGATTATTAAGACGAATTAAGTTTTCATAATTTTTCTGTCGACTCTTAATCAGACCAACATAATTCCGTCACTCGCTAATTATTCAGTTGAAATCATTAAAATTCCAAGCTCGTGCTGTTATCAATAGGCTTATTACGCTTGGAAATTCATCAGAAATTCAATTGCGATATTTAACAGAAAAATTAATTTAATACATGCTATGCTATTTATATTAATAATTCATGGATTTAAATTGAAATATTAATGAAAATTAGATANATATAAATGAATAGAAATTAATTGAAAATATAAATATTATTGTTAAATATTTGATAATTTACTTAAATATTGTGTTGTTTTATTATAGTTTTATTCTTTAACAGATTGATTAAACTGCACCATTTCAATAATTACTTAAACAACACATTTTTCTGAAGTTTTTAATATCGACGAATTAGGAATAAGATGAAACTGTGTAAAACTGTAGTTGAAATATATCGAATGAAACAATATCAGATGGCAGGATAAACGAGGAGTCAATAACACACAAGCAATTATTGTGCCTTCCTATGTTCCATGTGTTAGCGTAGAAAGTCACTTCGCAGTTTCCCACGTTTAATATTTTAAGAAAAAGAAAGATGCATTCAACTGTACAACGACGACTGCGAATTAAGAAAAGTAAAACAGCATATTTTTAAAACTTTAAATGATTTCAAATATATAAAGTAGTTGAAATCTGATTTTATTTGCATTATTCATTTATTCATTTTTCCAAAACAAACATTTTTTTTTATTCTGATAAATGATTCATATATTTTTTTCCCTCTTTTTTGTAATAAATGCAATTTAAACAATTCTTACTTACTTTTGGAAATTGGTTTCCTTTAAAATAGTCAAGATATTAGTGAAAAATACCATTATATTTTGAAAATAACAATAAAAATAGAATAATAAAAGCTATTTTATCTTAATGTTTCTAAAATAAATATTAAATTAATTCATAATTAAATAAAAGGGATTTTTCACAAGAAGTTTTATTCGCTATTTTTTAAAAAATGAAAATTTATAAAATATCTTCGAGGCTTTTCAGAAAAGTGATATTAAAATTTATCATCTCTGCTGCAATTTTCGATTTTATCGATTAGAGTTGTATCTTATTTAACGATATATTTTGAAGGCTATCGCCTATAAAATTTTAATACGGGTAAAAATGATCTATCGCATCATAAGCTTGGCACAGAAATTAAAAAAAAAAAAAAATTTTATTTATTTTTTCTTTCCATTAAAAAAAAAAAAATTCTCTTTTTGGCCGGCTTACTTTGCTTATAAATTTATATATATTTACACCTAGAATTGTTCTAAAATTAAAGAGGAATTTTACATTCATTCATCAGTGAATACGAGGATGAGAGAGGACGTAACATATTTTCTGAAGTACTTGTCAGATTCGTTTTCATATCATGGCCATTGATGTCAGTTTATTCGACAAAAATGGTAGATTCGGTGAGCCGACAAAAAATTCGATTTTACTTGTGAACTACGCTTGATAAATTTCAACTGTAATTTATTACCAGTTAGAGAAAATGTTGCATTTAAATTGAATTTTTTTTTCCTATTTTTTTTTTTATTTTTAAATATTATATGTTACGATTTTAATTTAACATCGACGGTAATATCTTCTTTTAAAAATGTTTTTAACGGTAAATTTATGTATCTCTCTTTAAAGCTTGCTGATGAAATTATTATTATTATTATGATAATAAAAACTATAAAGTAGAAAGAAAAAAAAATTACAGAGAAATATTAAACTGATGTACGGTAATTAAATTTTTAAAATGTCGATAGCAATTTGCGAATACTTTATTACAATTAATTTTGTAATTAATTGCTTTGACATTTGCCGACTATTGAAATGAATAATGAACACGCTTATTTTCCAAATATTATGATATATATATATACATATTAATTCTTTGTTGGCAGAATTTACATTTTCTAAATAATTGAGTCAAGGACGAAGAAAGAAAATATCAACTTGCGTGAAGTATAATATTCAAAGATAACTTTTAAATTGGATATTAGAGTCACATAAAACTCCATAGGTAGGCCTATAACTCAATGATAGACAAGAATAAATGTTGAGCGTGCAACATTTGAAAATTTACAGTCAGTCACACTATAAACCACTTACAATAAATTAACATATTCAAAATAGTCATATCTTTCAGAAAATACATGTTAAGAATATTTTAATAAATTGTTTGACAATTTCTATTAATATGATTTAAGTAGTTTTAAGTAAATTTTCTACATATTTAAACCCATAACTTATGCATTTTTCCCTTTACATTAAAATAAATGTTTTAAAATGTTATATTTTTCAGTTTTCGCAATATTAAAATTTTATTTAACTTGTTGAATAAATTAAATATTAAAATAGTTTTACAAGGTCTATTCAATTTAATTTTATTACTTTAAACTTTCTCTTAAATTTTACATGTATATGTGTATATAGGCTATATAGGCTTATATATATTTGTAACCTTTGAAATTAAAGTTTATTTATTTTGCATAATTAATGATTTTTCCTAATTGAAAATTAGAAAATAAATGAATTTTTTAAAATTATTATTCTTACCAATATTTATTGTTTAAATTGTTAGTAAAATGTAAACAATATAGAGAAAGTATTGTATATTATTATAAGGGAGAATTTAGAATTCTTATTCCAGACTTGGGATGATAATTTCGTTTTGTATTATTGATATTAATGGAGTTAAAGACGAACACGTATCCACAACGCTATAAAATATTTATTATCGTATTGAATACTGGAATAAATTTTTTATACAACATTTCATCGAGATAATTTCTTCGACGTAATATGATTATTTCTACTTTATTAGTTAAGTGTGCAATCAATATTATTTTTTCAAGAGAATGAAGTGTTTTGGGTAAATTGAAAGAATCTAATTCTGTATTACAAACTGATAGAAATCCTCTCACCTTTTGCTAACGTTAATTAATAAAATAATAAATATTAATTAATTAAAAAATCAATTTAAGATCTTTAATTATTAACAATCTAAACTGAAATATTTGTGAAGTTTTAAGATAGATTTATTCTTGCAAAAGAAGCAACTCGTGTGAATTAGACGATATTTTAATAAGGAATTTAAAATTTGAAACGATAATCTTTAAATTTATCAACTTTAATCTGTTATTAAATGATTTTTTTTAATAAATTAAACAGTATTTAAAGTATACTAAAAATACTTTTTTTAATGTAAACATTCTACAACGTATGAAAAACACGTGTAAAGTTTTGTTACTCCAGCAACTCTGCTTAATTACTTCAACTATAAAAAAAAAAAAATAAAAAATTAGTATGTAGTTCATTTGTTTCATTTTTTTAAAGAAGATTATAAAAAGTAATTTGATTCATTAAGCATTAATATAATTTTTAAAGCTCTGCAAAATAATTATAAAATAATTAACATAGACGTAAGCTTAATCTTAAACGTACTAATTGAGCAAAAAGCTTTATAATTTATTTTTCCGAAGCTTTTTATGTTTTTAGATTCATCATCTATAGATAACAGAATCTGCGAAAAGACGAATGATCTGATAAAATTAATTATGTTATCGAGTGAACCTGGTTGCAGTAGTAGCGATGCTAGCTGATAGTTATGCCTGCATGTGTCATTATAAAAATTACACCCTTTAGTCAATATTTTCTTGCTGTCAAAGAATACTAAGGTGTTACATTAGAGATCTTATTAACGCCTGGAAAGAAAGAAATAAAAAATTTCCTTACTTTCCCAGTAGACGAATAATTTAAATAACACAGTAAAATAATCTTTTATAGTTATACGAAATTACGTATACAATTAAAGCTTTTGCAAATTTTCAATTTAACGGAAATAAAATTATGATTAATTTCTGTTGAGAAATTATAGCACATATTAAATTAGGCACGCTTTAATAAATCTTTAATATCTAACCGATTAATATTTTAATACGTTAACGTTATTGTGTTATTAAGATAAAGTTGCTTGTGTCGCACCGGCATTTAAATCGCTCTAGCAGTCTATACAATGCCGGATTGAAATGCCATATAAATGAATAGAAATTAATTGAAAATATAAATATTATTGTTAAATATTTGATAATTTACTTAAATATTGTGTTGTTTTATTATAGTTTTATTCTTTAACAGATTGATTAAACTGCACCATTTCAATAATTACTTAAACAACACATTTTTCTGAAGTTTTTAATATCGACGAATTAGGAATAAGATGAAACTGTGTAAAACTGTAGTTGAAATATATCGAATGAAACAATATCAGATGGCAGGATAAACGAGGAGTCAATAACACACAAGCAATTATTGTGCCTTCCTATGTTCCATGTGTTAGCGTAGAAAGTCACTTCGCAGTTTCCCACGTTTAATATTTTAAGAAAAAGAAAGATGCATTCAACTGTACAACGACGACTGCGAATTAAGAAAAGTAAAACAGCATATTTTTAAAACTTTAAATGATTTCAAATATATAAAGTAGTTGAAATCTGATTTTATTTGCATTATTCATTTATTCATTTTTCCAAAACAAACATTTTTTTTTATTCTGATAAATGATTCATATATTTTTTTCCCTCTTTTTTGTAATAAATGCAATTTAAACAATTCTTACTTACTTTTGGAAATTGGTTTCCTTTAAAATAGTCAAGATATTAGTGAAAAATACCATTATATTTTGAAAATAACAATAAAAATAGAATAATAAAAGCTATTTTATCTTAATGTTTCTAAAATAAATATTAAATTAATTCATAATTAAATAAAAGGGATTTTTCACAAGAAGTTTTATTCGCTATTTTTTAAAAAATGATCATATAATTACTTCGTTCATCATACTGTTTATTGGTGGAATCCAGACAGATTCAATATGTTATATAGATTCTTTTTAAGTTGTCAAGATTTTTCTCTTTAAGCCCTATCATGGGAAGTATGTTAAAACGATTCGATAGGTAAAAACGTATCAACGGGCCGATATGACTCCATATGAAAACTGCCACAAAAGACAAACCAGCTGTAGGAGCAATCGACACAAAACTTGCTTCTGACAAAACACAGAACTAGTTGGTATGATAGATTGTACCAGATGGTGAAGGAGAAGCTGGTCTTTTTGGGAAGGGGAAGAAAACAGACAGAGAGGGAACGAATCACCAAGCAAGTCATCAGAAACAGCCGTTATAAGTCGACAAGTAGTTTCCAACAACCGTCGTCGGATGATAAAAAAATCACACTATATAGATATTCCTCCTCTCTTTAAAAAAGAGCGAAATACAAGTTGCATCACTATAGTCCTAATACCGAACATCAACACGTCAAGCCGAAATAGAATCAAATAACTGCTTTTGTAACACCATGATTCTTTTACTAGAACTACTATTTGTCGAGTATTCCCAAACGACAACGTTCGACTTTCAAACATAACATTCTGCAAAACTCTAAAGATATAAAGATTTAGAAGACATCCCGAAAAAAAAAATAATAATAAAAAAAAGAATCAGGCGTAATCTTAAAGAAAAAATTCTTTTAAAACTTTAAAATAGTGTAGTCTACGATTAGATTGATAAAATAAACCAAACTTATATATAAGTGTAGTGATTGAACTTTAAATTTAATCTAATACTTTGGCCTTACTGAAAATAATAGTCTAACCGGATAAAATTAAATAACTATAATTAAATTTTTTAACTGAGAATGCTGTATAATCAATATAGTATCATATAAATTAAACTAACAAGTAAGAATGAAATTAATAAAAAAAGTAATTCTATGGAAGAAACAGAATTAATTGTTTAAATAGTAATATGGAAATGTATATGAGAATAATGAAATTTTTAAAGAACTTAAAGGGAATGCAAAAAGAAAAAGAAAGAAAATAACTGAATAAAATTCTCATTGACAGTTAAAGTGTCGGAATAGGATTAAGATAACTGACATTTAGAATGATTGCATTATTACCGAGTAAATTATTTGAAGAATAAATTAAAAAAAAACTGTTGGGTCAATGTTGAAAGTTAGCAATTAAGAGAAAGAGAACGAACTTTTCTACTTCTTGTTGATTTATCAGAAAAGCTGTAGATTTGTCGAAGATAAGCGTGATTAGGCCATTTATGTGAAAGAAAAAACGAGAGAGGAGAGGAAACGGAACCCTAGGGACACCAACATTGACTCAGACATCAGGGTTAGTTCCATCAACTATGACCTAATGAAATGATTAGAAAGAAAATTAAATGCCAATAGCCTTGAGAAGTAGTTTATTAAGAAATTCACGATGCTTAGGAAATTTTATTATATAATTAAGACAATTCGATTCAACGTTTTCTCTTAATGAAATCATTTATTAGTTAATAGAGGCTTGGAGAAGTAAGCTTTATTATCAATGGCCGACTATATAAATGTCGATATTTATGATATTAAACTAGAAAAATTCAGTTTATAAAGAAATAAATAGATTATTGATATCATATAATCAAAAAGGAAAGAAGCAAAAATATGCGGAGGGGAATTTCCACTATTTTATTTAGGACTACTTTTTATTATTCACGAAGATCCGTAAGAAATTATATTTCGACAGTTCTTAATTTGCATATATTTATTTTGAATTTTTTATATTTAGATTTAGAAAAATCCTATTCCGTCGAGCATTTTTTTTTCTTCTATTGTGAAGCAATATAGGACGTTCAATAATTTATTCTTCTTTTTTCGCCTTCATCAAATTTTTATTTATTTTAAATATAATATAAAATAATTTAATTTTAAAATATATTTTTAAAATCAATTTTGAGCAAGGAATTAACGCTTTAAGTTCGAATGTAAATGAGTGGAAAACTTTGAATAAATTTCAACAAATAATTGAGACATAATTATTATTAAAAAAGTAGAATTATCATCAAAAGTTTCGGGGAGAAAAAACTGAAAAAAAAGAGTTGATTATTTTATATATTTGATTAAACAAATTTCAATTACTCCATTAAAATTGGCAGAAAGAAAAGAATGAAAATTGATACGAAGATTTCGACCGATATTTATTTTATAATAGATTTAATGGAAATGTTATGAAGTGAGATGAGAAGGAAAAAAATCTCGGCAGATAAATTTCTTTAAATTAGGCTAATGAGAATATTTGAATAATTTGTATAATTTTCCAATAAGAGTTATTTTTGTTTAAAAGGCAACTGTTTAACAAGATTATAAATTATTGATTGTCAGTTGCTGCGAGTTTCCTAAAAATTCAATAAAGTATTTCAATGCCTCATTGTTACAAGAGGCATCAATAAAAGTCTGTCTGATTCAATCATTCTGCTGATTTTGCCTGCAAGGCATTCGTTCTCTTATGCTAATCTCTCGCGAAATCTCTCTATCCTTGACAATTTTCCATTGCTTTATTTTGATAAAAACGAATCTGTATTTAACTCATAAATCACTTGGCAGCTTTCATTTTCCATCTTTCAGTTTCATATTTTCCAAAATAATTTTATTCGGCGTAATAGGAAAAAATACGTCAATCTTTATTATATTAGAATATTTCATATTTATAAATAGTAAATCCGAGCCTTCAATAACAGGCCTAGCTGAATTTCAAAATATTTAAATAAGCGGCAAATGACAAATATCAATTGCAAAATATCTATCAACTTTTAAAATTAGGATTGCTGTTCTCAAAATTGAATTCCCGAACGCATTAATCATATGTTACAAACATGACGCCATTGATTTATCTGTAGAACAATAAACGATTTGTTATGTGATCATCAAAGGTTCCAAATAAGAAATATAATGTATTGATTAAGCCAACAATACTATTGTATTTGCCATTTAACTCCTATATACACAAAGTTGAATTCAATCATGATTCCCATCGGTACGTAATTTGTTATAAAACATAATAAAAAAATATTTTCCTTCTAGAAATTTCACTTTTCAAGTAAAACCTCTTTATGGAATGAGTCTATAGAAGTTGTACAAATAATTTTTTTTTTTCGTTACATGCCACTTTATTACGTAGACGAAGTTGCTTATAGTTGAACTAATATACATATAATTTCATTTATCCTATTCTCTATGGTCTTGTGTATCTTGACCCGGATTGGACTTTAGCCAAGAGCTACTGGAATTTTTTACATAGAAATTAAATGACCAAAAGAAGAGTTCTATACTTTTAAACTATTGTGTTTTCAAGTTTTCTTTCTGATTTTTACATTATTTGTAATGAAGAAATTTAGTGAAAACAAACTTAATATTAAATATATCCATTTAATAAACTTGCTTTCTTAGTCAATTTTAGAGTCAATAAATTTACCAGAATAATCAAGTTTTACTTATAGAATAGTTATTGTACGTGAATACCAGAAAATTTTCTTTGTTAATTTTAAAAAAACTTTTAAATAATTTCCTCTTTTATTTATTTATTTATTTATATTTCAGAATCTATATTTAAAACCTCTTTAATGTAGTAATGTATTTATAGATTTTGTATTAAAGGAAGAAAGGAGAAGTTTTTATTTTAAAAAATGTAAAATACACATATAAAATTCTTTACGCATATTAAATTTATCTTAATAATATATTTATTAAAATGTTTACAAAGATTTATGCTAACTTATTATCCTTTTTTCTGTCGAATTATTCAATTTATATGGCGAATGATATTTAAAAATTTACTTTAAATAAAGTAAAGCAAATTTAAGATAAATTTAATTTAAAATTGCAAAGGAGTAAAATTTACTTTATATTATATAAATAAATATATA